AGGCTTTCTGCAAGCCTGGGCAGATGTTTTCTCTCCTTTCATAAGAAAGGCCTTGTTACTGCCACCTTGCTGGAGTGGAGTCTCACACACCTTGCCACAAGGTGACATGACGAAGACACTGTGGCCAGCACTGTACCAGCACTTCACTCATGGGGACCTCACCGTCTGCAGGAAATGAAGCAAGTGCACATGGCCAAAATCAGGGTCTTTCCAAGCCAATCTCCTCCTCTTCTTATTCCATCAGCACAGTCTTGAAGCCTACCTTTGAAGAAGGCTGTGGTTACATAATGCAAACCCAGAGTATCATCAGTGTCACTGCACCAGATTAAAGCTTGTGTGAGCAAAGGAGGAAGGAACCAGCCTGCAAATACATTGCTCCTGTGCTGTATTCATAAGTATCCTGACATTGCCCCAGACTGAGTTCGTTTCCTTTCCAAGTAAGGAGACCCTAGCCATGGCCCCCTTTCTACAGGAATAAACAAACAATGGTTGGGCCTGACTCTCTTAGGCTAATAACCCACAGCTTGGACTAATTTATTTTAACTGTTTCTTACGCATTCAGCTCTTTCTCTCATGGTGGTGCTGCATCTCTCCTCCAGCTTCCCTCACCATCTGCAACAGCATCTGTGACAGCTAATCCGAGATGTCAGGTACATCCGCTCTGAGAAGAAGAGACCTGCAGCTGTGTTCCTTTGTCTCTCTCAGTCCTGGTAAACCTCTCACTTGTCCCTACCTGTAAATGCTGGTAGCTGTAATTTACCTTAGGAGCGAGCACTGAACCCATCCTCAGCAGAGTACTGCTGCACTAACTAGAACATGGGCAGTCACAGCTTTTGGTATCTAGCCCTCCTTCCAGGGCTTCAGCTCACCAGGACAAAGAGACCTTTACTACAGGACAGTATAAGATCAAAGCTGAAATTCAGGATCACCTTGCCTGATCACAGCTCAATGCAATATAAAAGTATTTGTGTGCTTGTTACAGCTCAGAGTCAAAGGGCAGGAGTTTCAGAAAGTTTTCTTGCCTTTGAAAAATTTCACTTTCAATAACCTTAATCTGCCTGGATTTAACAGACCTGACTCACCTTCTACACTAGCCAGGCCCACAGAGGTAGATGCTCCTGATTTACACCAGAGAAGAGAATCACAGCTTGGGATGCTGATTCTCACTTACAAGGAATTTGGTGCACTTTGAAGGCATACAGGAACCTTTCAGTAACTACAAACTACCACTCTCGGGTCAGTATGCACTGACAGTACATAACTGGAAATCACGCTACCATCTCCACGTCTAGTCTTTACTAGCAGCCAATGGCAGATTAATAAGATGTGCGACAGACAGTTGAACCGGAGCCAAGACGGAAAAAAAGGGATGGTGCGTATATCAGCCTGCCTGGCAAAGTGGCGAATATATGAATACCTCAAGCAGATCCCATGGGGAGAACCATGCTTTTAATCACAGTTTGTCATACTTGCCTTTATGGGTCCCAACAAAAGGAATGTGGAAGAAAAAAAAGAGATGAATCTTCAAATTTTTGTGCAGACGGGTGTACAAAAGCTAAACTCTTTTCAGTGGTAATGGACAGAAAGACACAAGGTGAGCAAGATCATATTAGCATTTCTCATGTCCACCTCTAGACAGAGTAAAATCTCTGTTCCCAAAGCATCCTTACTGTTTACCAAAGCATCCTTATTGTTGGGAAAAAACTTAATAGAACAGAGAGGTCCCATCCCACTCATGGGAGTGGATAGAAAGGAGCAATCAGATCTCACATCAGAAGTTTTCTGAGGCTGGTCACAAAGAAGAGAGAGGTGTCACATGTTGATGTCTGCCCCTTGAAGGGCTATTTTCATACCCAGACAAAACAAATGGCCAGAGCTGCACTCTGCACTCAGTAGCACTAAGGTTGATGGGACTGACTGAAGGCAACATTTGATTTCTGCCTGTCACCTGACTGTCCTGGATTGCCCAAACAGTACTTGCACCCCTGACTCTGTGAACTGGGTCCACAGTAAATGCTGCAGAGATCTTCCCAAGCCCTGGGTGAACACTACCTGCGTGTAAGCACTTGCTAAGATGTCCCCCCTCTTCTTTGCCCTTCAGAATTGCTCAGCTTTGCTCTGGGGCTCGGCAGTTGCAGAGCTTCATACAGGGGTGCAGCAGAGCCATGAGGGGAATGCAGAAAGACCGGAGAGGCAGAACATCCACTTCCTTCCTCACAGGTCTGCACTGTTCACCAGTGGGTGCTCAGGACCTCCTTCCCACAGAGGTACACTGCCACCCTGTGGAAATGGTCCTTCCTTTCACAGGAAGCTGGGGAGATGGGTCACAGCCTCACGGATGCTCATTAGCTACACAGCTAATGCACAGGCAAGCTGTACGCACTTTGGCGCTGTGCTGAAGCAGGGCTCTGTGAATTTAATTTATTGAGACTAATGCAAATTTAATTTCTGCTAAGTCTTTGTAATCACATATCTAGTGGCAGGGCAGCTGCTGCGCACACAGCGATGTAGCTACTGAAATGCACAATTACTGCCACTCATTCCCCTCCACTGACAAATTGAAACAACATGGCGCAAATCAACAGCAAATCTTTAGACCAGCCAGATGAGAGACTGAGGCTGGGTGCCACCTCTGTCTCCAAGACATCAGGGCAGCATGCAGAAAAGGGCACAAAGCCTCAAATGAGGCAGGACACCGAAACCAGGTTTCTTCCATGCCGCTTCATCCAAAAAATCTTAAACCCCAGACCTTGCTTTGGGTGGGCTGGCAGGCAGCCTTAGGATTAGCACTAAACACCAAGATACAGCCCCGACTGCGTAATTATGTCATCAGGAAAATAAACAACAGGTGAGCTCCAGTGGAAGTCTCTTGTCAGTACATTCAGAAGGTTCTTTAAACACAGTCTGGAGACCTATTTATTCAATAAGGGTTGTAATTAGTCTGCAAATTAATCTCAACACATCTCTCTATGGCAGACTGAGAAATGAGATTCCTTGGGGAAAAAAAAAAGTTACTGCTGACAAATGAATACTCTGTATTCACATTTAAAAACTAAATACTTTAAATCTAAAAACAAGAGGGTTGAGTTTACATTCCTAACTGCTTAGTAAAAACTGAGGCTGGAGGTCCCAACAAAAACAGCCGCCCCAAAGAGAATGGAGAAACTGAACCAATGCTAAAAAACAAAGTCTGCCACTTGCAACTATGCAGGTACATCTGCATTTCACAGTGTGCCTGACACAAAACCCACAGAAGAGATGGCAATTCTTTTGATTTACTTTGGTAGGCTTCAGGTCAGCTCTCAGATGCAGTAACCTCTCATTTTTATTTCCACTACCAAAAAAAAAAGAAAATTATGAACTCCAGTGTATGTGCTCATCTCTTCATTTGAACAGACTGCTGTTTCATGCCAGCAAACAGACAAAAGAGAAATGAAACATTGTCATTATTATTGACAATGAAACAAGATTTATCCTGTTCAGCCTCTTTCCCTGTTCTTCAGATTTAACTACTGGCACAAACTTAATGAACAAAACCTGAAGCAAAGCAGCCTGTGCCAGACAACACATTCTAATCTGAAATTATATCTCCTGCTCTAATGTGAAAACCCCAAAGCACCTTTGATGAAAAAACACACACACCTTCCAGATATGCAGAGCTCAGGAGTAGCCCTTATGTATTCAACAGTCAGACCAACTGGCTGCTTCTGTCTGCTTTTATCAGGAGACAGGACTCTGGGATGGCATGACCTCATGAGCTTTCAAGATACAAAGCTCTGGAGCTGGCCCCACTGGAGTTCAGTCTCGACTCTCCACGCTGCACAGTCGTGATCACAATCAAGTGAAGGAAAGAGGGAAAACAACAGAATAAACACTGTATATATTATATGCCTCCTGGGAGGAGAAACATTGCTTGTCCTGTCTAACAGTTAAGATTCCAAAAATGCAAGCAGGGTGTTCTGTTTTGAACCATGATCTGCAGGTCATTCCTTACCTTCAACAGTCCTTTTGGGAAGTCTTTGCCATCATCCATCCCCTGGAGGTTAGCAATGAACTCGTGGCAGGTCATCTTTTTCCCAATGTTCTGGAAGGGATGGCAGAGAAACACAGCATCATATTCATGCTGCTTTCCAAAATGACGTAAATAAGCAACGTCAGATGAACTTCATTTCCCCGCTCTCATTTAAGCCCAAGGCAGGCAGCATTAAGAAGGCATTCCCAAGCTAAGTTAGAGACAAGCATCCTTGTGTGAATATAGTTAGAAAAGGGAAGGTGCATTTGGACCCCAAGTCCCACACACCCCTCCAAAACTAAAAACAGCTGAATACTGGAGGGTAATAAAGAGGGTGATGATAAAGCTCCCTGGTATCTGCATGGTGCTTTCCACCCCCATATCTCCAGCAGCTCTACCAGCCTCTGATGGAAAAGCTCTGCTTGATCCTGCTATGGGGCATAAGGAAACAGCTGACAGAGGCCCTTTCCATTCCTTTCTCTAATGACTTCCAGTGCTCCCTTCCAGTATCAACTGCCCTGAGTTGGAGTGAGATGTGCAGGAGTGGTCATTACCTTTTCTGATTCACAGGCTGAGTCTGCCTTGACAGTTCCACAGGATTGCTCTCTTTTATCTCGTCTAATTCTCAGACTGAAAGTTGCCTAACTGCGCCACAAACAGGAAAGGAACGGCTATGTTCATGGAAGACCTCTTGGATCCCAGTCTCCGTCCTCAGAGAAGGTGTCTGTGCTCAGACCCTCGGGTGTCCCAGGTGCTAGAAGTTCCACGCTTGGCATCAAGGGAGCCTTGTGAGTGGGCACTAGTGACAACACTGAGTGTGTGAAAAAGGAGCCCAAAGAGATCTGAGGAAAGGGAAGGGAAGCAGCCTGGGATGAGCTGTTAAACATGGCAAAGGCAGAGGGAAAACAGGGCCCCGTAATGACGGCAGTATCTCCGGGGATGCCACTGCTGCCAATCAGAAGGGGGTGAAGATTATTTCTCCATAATCAGGGTATGCCTTGCTTGCAGAAATACAGCAGAAGAGCTTTGTGCACAGACAGTGACTTGGGTTAGGAGCAAGAGTCCGAACTAACACACGAATGGAGCCCAAAGAAGGGCACCAGTCAGTAATACAGGTCATTCAGTGCTAGTTACATGACAGCTTGGACTGCACATCCTCTACTTCCCTTCCATAACGTATGATCAGAGAAAGAAAACCAACAATCCTTGTCTGTCAGCCTCATCTACCCACAAAGGAAGATCCTGCAGCCTGTGGCCACCACAGACCAGCAGAAAGAAGGCAGGCAGGAACACTGGAATGATGCACTGCTTCCCACATCAGGAAGGCTCCTGACAACACAGGCTAGCTGTAACCCTGGCTCTCTCGTTGCTAAGCTTCCAGAACACAGCTCATAATTGCAATATTTGGGTGCAGGCTGGAGCTGTTCTAGTAGACCTGCAAATGCCTTCCTTCCTCCCTGAGGCAGACTTTAGCCTGCTTCTGTTTTTTTCCTCCACACAGCAGTTTGCAGCTTCCCCATGCTGACCAAAACCAACAGCAGTCTGGCTCATTTCACCCACTGAGATAATTGTCATTGCAGTGGAATCACTGTTTTGCTCCAGGACCAAAGTTAACATTTCCATACAGTGCATGCAGATTCTAGATGTGCCTGGAAGTCTAGAGATACCTTAAAAGTCTCTAGCATCACAGACTGGGTGATGTAGAAAAGTGACAATGCATCTCCAAGACACAGCTAGCAAAATCAATTTTGTTAGAAAGAGAATGGAATGTGGCAAGACAGGGATAAGTAAGAGTTTGTCTACAAGAGTTAAGGGAAACTGTGAACTGAAGGCAGAGCAGCTGCACTACAGCTCTACAAGCAGTCGAGCTTATTGTGAAATGAGAGTCCGCACTTACGATCAGTATGTCAGCAACAAACGGAACTCAGTGTAGACAAGCCCTATGACTCATTTGCTTCCTGCTCTACCAGAATCATGCTAAGGATGGGTCAGAGCATTATCTTTGTTAGGAAACAGGCAATTAGTGTAGATCTATCTGCAAGGGGCTGCATTCCAAGTCAAAAATGCCCAACTTACCACCTAAGTGGAAAAATGCAAAGCAATAAAAGGAAGACCAAAATTAAAGGAAATCGGGGCAGGGGGGAGGGGAAGACACATGCAGGAGTCTGGCAAACATTACAGCTGCGTCCACTTAACAACACACTAATGACTGCCAGTAGCATAAGTCTCCAAAGTTATACACTGCAATAACCAGAGTCATCCTAGCTTCAGCTACAAATCATCACCAGCAATGATGGGACAGAGACAGATTGTTTACCTCCAGTACCTAATGGAGACAGTAGGGCCCACTAAAGCATTGCAGGGAGTGACAGGAAACACTGTCAGGCTGATGCTCAACCATTTAGTCTCCCCTGGACTGCAAGGCTAGGCAGGCTGGAGACCAGGTGCCCCAGACCACTAATCGTGGTGGGGACTGGTCTATGGTAAGAGCCACACCGGGGCACGTTCCCATATCTCTGCTCATCCCCCTCGAGACGGATGTGATCCTCAGTCGGGAAAGGCTCAACCTTCAGAGAAAAAAATTCTTTGCAACTCCCTTCCCTTCCCCCTCCCTCTTCTACATTTTCAGACAAAGGCTTTCAGTTAATGGGAGGTGGGTGTCAAAACCCCTGGGGAAGCACACAGAAGCCCCAGCTTCATTACCTGCACCCACCGCAGAGCTGTACTCATGGGAGCTGAGCAGCCCTGGGAGACAGACCCAGGGTGCCCCCACCTCCTGCTGCTGGACCCACGACCCTTGCTGTGTAAGAGCTCCCAACTGAGGCCCTCCTGGAGGAGCCCCTTGGCAGTGCAGTGGAAGGTCTCAGCCAGAGAAAAGCCCCCAAGCCACCTGGCTGAAGCCACCAGTCCTGCAAGCTATCATGCCATGCTCCTTGTGTTCCTCCCTCTCCATCCTGACTCCAGGACGGAGGAAGCCTCCCATCAGCATGGGAATACCATGCATAGCAGGCATATTGCACCGTGGGTGCTAAAATACATGTCCTAGGGCTGCTGGCACCCTGTGCCAGTGTGACTAAGAGGACTCAAACTGGATTACTATTTCCACCGGGCAGGCAGTGGGAAGAGGTGTGCAGTGGGGGAACACAGAGCCCATGTGTCCTGGCTAAGCAGAACTCTGGTTCCACCAGATCTCACCCCTGCAACTGGATGCCTGCAAAGATCACCTTCCTCTTGTGATGTTCCCAGAACCTCTTCACTTCCCTTCTTTCTTCTGCCTTCCTAAATGTTTTTACATACTGGAAAGGGGAAGCCAATCCCAACCACAGCCTCCGAGCCAGGACCAGCTGCTGTAACCAGGGTAGGATGGGAAGCACATCAGAAAGACAGGGGCCTGACAAAAGGATCATCCTCGCACATTATGGCAAAACCAGGCACAATGCCAGCTTACACAAGACTGATCTGGGCATGCTGGAAAGCTCTGCCCAGGATGACAGCCTGGGAGTGCAGCCTTCTCACTGCCTAGGATCAGGCCACCAGACAAGGGACTCTGCTGCCAGAAGACCACCCCATCCAAGCACAGTGTCAATGTGAGCAGTCTACACAAAACTGTACATACTCACATGGCCATGCAGGTCTGTGTTCAGCAGCATCATGGCACACGTGAGACAGTGAACTCCATCTGCAGAAAGAGACATAACCACAGTCACACGTAAACCCACAGCTGGACCTTTAAGAACAGTTGAAACTGAGCATCACAGCCTAATTGAGTCTGTTCCCTTAATGAGGATCTGTTTTATCAAGAAATACACATAATTAAATAAATGAACAGTGAGGTCATCCTGCAGCTGCCAAGCCAGAACACCCTTTCTTTCATTTTTTAATGACTGTCAAAACTACCTTGAAGCACCCATGGATGAGGAAAACTAGACCGGAAAACATCCTGTCACCCTCTCCTTGCTAATACCAATACCACAGCCTGAATCAGCTCTTCTTCATTTATTTCAGCACAGGAAGAGTAAAATACACCCATTCTTGTGTGTAGAGTGGACCATCTGGAGAACTACATCCAGCTCTGAGGCCCCCACCATAAGAAGAACATGGACCTGTTGGACTGAGTCCAGAGGAGGGCCACAAAGATGGTCAGAGGGCTGGAGCACCTCCCATATGAGGACAGGCTGAGAGAGTTGGGATTGTTCAGTGTAGAGAAGGCTCCAGGGAGACCTTCTAGCAGCCTAGTACCTGAAGGGGGCCTACAGGAGAGACAAAGAGGCACTCTTTATCAGGGAGTGTAGTGATAGGACAAGGGGTAAAAGTTTTAAGCTGAAAGAGGGCAGATTTAGATTAGATATTAGGAAGACACTTCTTCCTGTGCGGGTGGTGAGGCAGTGGCCCAGGTTGCCCAGAGAAGCTGTGGATGCCCCACCCCTGGAGATGTTCAAGGCCAGGCTGGATGAGGCTTTGAGCAACCTGGGCTAGTGGAGGGTGTCCCTGCCCATGGCAGGGGGCTTGGAACTCGGTGACTTTTAGGGTCCCTTCCAACCCAAACCATTCTATGATATGCTGAACATGGTATCCTGTTTTCCTCCCCTTCTGTCCCCCTTCTCATTCACGGTTCAATTATACTGAATGGCGGAGAACTTCAGTCAGTTATTTACGCTGCCTTGGCTCCATACTGGATAGAGAGCAATTCAGCAATTTCTAAGGTGGTCCTGAAGCAAAGGCAGATGAGACAGATGAGACTGACTGTGTCCCCAGCTCCATCCCTGGAGTCACTGTGGCAGACTTGGGAAAGTCAGTGATTGATATCCATCAGTTTCATATTCCTCATTTTCCAGGCACCCCTTTCAAAACCCAGAATGTACTGGCTGTGCACAAATCCAGATGAAGGTAACAGTGCCCACGGTGCCATTTATCACTTCTGAAAATACAAATGCCCCTAGCCAGTTTCCAAATATTACAAACACATCAGGAAAAGTATTTTCTCCCTTCTTTTTCATAAGCACATGGTGCCATCTTCCCTTCTCTCACAGGGGTGTCATAAAGACACTGCAGGGAGATGTGAGTAAAAATACCTATGTAGCCAAGTCCAGATAATGACCATGCACAGGTTCCTCTGTGCTGTGAAGGGAGGATAGATATGTTTCACACTCAGTGTGACTATCACAGGCTTAGGTCTGTGCAAGGTGAAGCCACTACAAAAGGACGTTCCCCAAGGTAAGGATCATGTTTTCTTATGACATTTATACAGGCCCAAGCACCCAAGCAATGCAGCTGAACTGCAGGAGAGCATGAAATGAGAGAAGAACTATTATCACTAGTGGTAGTAAGTCTGAAGCCCCTTCAGTCTAGGGCTGTGGTGCTCCAGTTCAGGTCTATACATTTCTCTAGAGCAGCCTGCCCTCTCATTTCTAAACTGCAAACAGATCCAGAAAATGGAAAAGGGAAAGGGCAAAAGAGGAAGGCAAATGCCATCCCTGATTTTCATTGAAAGGAACAACCACCGTATTTCTGAAATGCAGCACTCAACTACTGGCAGTAGAAACAGAGCACTGAAGTTATGTAGAATCCTGGGCAAAGTCTGCAGGACTCACTTTAAATGATTAGTCGGACTCAGAAGTGGCCATGTCCCTTCTGCACCCTGAACTAGAGTAAGGCTGCCACATCTATGACACACCTATTCTACCTGACTGCCTGTGGTGTCTTGAAACAAGAAAGTCATCAGGAGGAAGACAGAGACAGCATGGGAGCAGATCCTGTTGTATTGCTACCCATTCCCTTCCCCAGTGTACCAGCCAGTAAAGCTGAACAGGCAAAACGTGGACAGACATCACCTCACTGGAATGGGGAAAGGTAAGCAGGGGTAAGGAAGTGTGGCAGTACCTCCAAGTGCAGCAGCAGCTCCATCTCACACTTTAGAGTAAAGACACATGCTTATTTTCTTTCTCGCCTTCCTCTCTTTCTCAGCATGTGATCAGCCCGCACTGCAATCACAGGATCGCATGCCTCTGTTGGCGTGGCTGGCTGAACACAGAAGCTATGCCAGTGGGCAGTTTGTCCTCCTCTCCAATGTCAACTTTCTCAGGTTTGATCCATGCACTTGTTTGTTTCCTCCATCCATTTCCAAAATGATGGAAAACACTGGCAAGGAGGCAGCACTCTGACTGATGTTAACTAGTTGAGATGAAACCATGCTGGATACAGCACCCAAAATCCACCCCCACAACTGGCAAGAACTGACATGCCTGCTGCCAGTGCACACAGACATACAAGCACTGAATGTAGCACTGAAAGTGAACAGTTTCTCTTCTTACCAGGATGGGATCTATTCTCATACACGTGCACTGTAGCCAGAGTACAGGTACCCACACATGTTGGAAGTAAGCAAGATCAGAAACCACAACTGAGGACATTCAAATCCGGAGATGCTATAATGGAGGATCAGCACCAAGGACGCCTAAACACCTTCCCTGACCGGGGATAAATACAGATTTTTCCCTGCTTTACCATGATTATGTGTGGAGAACGTGGAGGGTTTCAATGCTCAACACAGGCAGTCTCCAAAGCATGTCACAGCAATTACACACCTTCAGTTCCCAGGCACATACCATACATGTTACTGAAGATGAGAATGAAGGAACAGGGAGACAACCAAAGAAAGACCTTTGTATCAGAAACAAAGTCACCTTGAGAAGAAATGGTGTTTGGGTTGCACTGGTAGTATCTGCTGGAGAAGTGGATTAAAACTCTCTCTCTTTCCTGAGTTTCGCCGATAAGTGAAAAGGCTTTAAAGAAACTCCTAAAAGAAAAGCAGAAAAAGGTGAAATTAAAGTCACAAATCTCTTTTTGCCCCACAAAGCACACAGAGCAAAGCACACTTCACAGCACGAAGTATGTAAGCGCATGCCAGACATTTGGTTCCAAGAAGCCTTTCTAAGAAAATGGGCTATTATCCCATGTGCCGTTAATCCCAACGTTATAGTAAATGAAGCAGTAGTTAAATTGCCACTGGTCTCAGCAACAGAATATACAAACTATAAGCAATTAAACCATTTGAAAGAGCTGTTCTCATTTTTAGTATTTTTATTTTCTTTGGGGAAGGAACTGGAGCAGGCGTTGTTTATACATGACAGACATCCAGGCTCTTCTCTGTCCTTTTCTAGTTGTGTGACATCCCCGCACCTTTTAAGTTTACACTCATTAGTACTCTCATCCAAATTGGAGGAGCTACTCCAGGCAGTGAAGTCAAGCAGGAGCACTGCAGACTCAGAGCCCACATCAAACAAGCAGTCCTCCTTCTGGAGGTTCACCTATCAGAGCAGCCAAGACCACACCAGTCGCCTTGCAGAGGGCAGTGTGACTACCTGACCTTCAGAAGGCATCTGGGGAAGAGGGCAGAAAAGTCACATCATCTCCCACTGAGCTTCAACAGCGGGAGAAGCAACCTGGCCCTCCTAGGTTTCTGCTCCAGTGCAGGGCGCAGGGCTGGCACACACCTCGGCGTGCTTGTTACAGAGCTAGTGAGCCTGTGCAAAGAGGTAGGACACACACACACATCTTCCAGTCTTCACCTGACACTTAACCACCCTGCCTCTTAACTGCACCGCTATTCTTCCTGCTTGAAAAAATTGCCTCGCAGCCAAAGGAGAACTTCTGCACTTCCCAAAATCCCCACATTCTGGAGCCAAGAGATGACCTCAGCGGTATCAGCCTACGCTCATTTGTCAGGATGCTTCTAAGGAAAGCCTGAAAACTCAAACCTTTTGGGTCTGAAGCAAGACAGCATATAAAATGAGTGCCTAACAGACAATTTTTAAATACCCCATGAGACTGAAACTAACACCAGATCTGAGAGGCACGGAATATGCTGCTGGAACATTCACGTCTATCGAGCCTGGATGAATAAATGTTAGCTTTTTTTCTTTGATGTAAGGTCAAAGACAGGCTGTAGCTGCAACAATCTCAGACCCATACGGAATGTGAACTGCCTGCTAGTAACTAAATTTCACATATAATGTATTGCAAATAACCCAATTCACAATTAGATACAACTGAGTAGTTGCAGGGTTTCTCTTCCCTTCCTACCTCATGCCCCCATGGGACATTTTGACAACTAGCTGTCTTTCCTCCTCCTCCAGCTCGGGCTCTTTCCGGTGACGCTCCCTGCCCACACCAGGCACCACCGACCTACACCCTCTCCTCCTCTTCAGCAGCTCTTTCCCCTAGAAGCCCTCTCAGAGAGGCAACGGATGAAAGAACATTCGGTGAACAAACCAGGCAGATTCCTTGTTTTGGGAGCATGATGCTGCAGCCAAGGGCCACGCGGTGAGTTTCTGCCCACCAGGAAGACCAGGATGGACTCTCAGAGGGGCTGGAGCAGCACTCCCACCTCCTCCCCCTGCCATCCTGCAGAGGACGCAGGAGATGGATGCACTTGGGAGATGCATGGGTGACATGGGTCCAGGGTGTGGAAGCAGAGCAGGATGATGAAGGCACAACCCTCCACATGTCCCAGACTTGCCACTGACAGTGATACATACTGCACAACAGCCTCCCACAGCCTGGGCATAGTGTAGATCTGGGCTGCCACCATGGGCTCCAAAATGCTTAACAAACCACAGCTCATTAGCAAGCCAGCAGCACTAGGGTGGTTACCTCTCGCTCCCTGCAGGCGTGAGGCAGCACGCCTCAGCTCCCCCAGGCTTCGGGACAATGCTCTGCCTCCAGCCTCTGCTGCGCACTCCGGGCACGCAGCCAGCAGTCACTGCAGCTATTCCCAAAATGTCAGCAAACTCCTGCCATGTTTAAGTCCCATAGGAGCCAGGGGATATTTTAGAGAAGGTCATGACTATTAATACCAACAGGAGATCTACCAGGAGCAAAGACCTCCTAAATATGTGCCACAAAGCAATTAGGTCTTGGATTTCACAATTTAACAGGCGGGTATATTTAGCATCGTGCTTCAGGGCTGCTAAAACCCAGAGCAAGCAGCAGACCTCCCACTGCCCCAGCTGCTCCCACCCTGTGCTGAGTGGGTGCTCCAGCTCGGCTCTGCTCCATCCCGCCTTGGTAGCAGGCGGTTCACTCTTCCAAGGCACATTTCCCTTTCAATGCCTTCGGCAGGCAGGACTTTGGGCTTTTCTTGGGGTCTGCCACAGTCTCCTGGAGTCAGCCCCCTGGAAATGCATTTGTAAGGGGACTGGAAAGTGCCTGCAGACCTCCTGGTTTTGTATCATTAGGAAAAAAAAACAAAAACAAAAAAACAAACTACTTAAGTAACTTCAGCCAGATTATTTAAACTCACTTTAAATCCCTTTAAATACCAGAACACCAGCAACCACACTAACAGGCCACTGCTACATAAACTTGGTGTTTTGCCTCCTAAGAAAAAAAGTACTGAAAACAAACATTGTTGAGACCTTATCTCAGTGTAAAAAAGAAGGAAAATTGAAGGGCTGGGTTTTCAAACACCCACGCTGGCAGCTACCATACTCTCAACAGCATTTTCGACATGGAAGCTTTTGCTGTTCTGAACATTGTTGGGTACCTCAGAGGGACACAGAGAGGGGGGCTGCCGAGCCACATCAAACCCTGCCCTGGCTTTGTGCACTGCAGCCGGGCAGAGCAAGATCCAAAAGGCATCAGTCAAAACGTCTGCATGGCTCTGCAGTGAGCAACACCCCCCTTCCCCAGCAGCACCTGGCAGCAGACTATGAGCCCCCTGTTTACCAAGTGACAGGTCATTTTTCTCCACCTCCTTTGCACCAATGACCATCTTTAAGCAGGTCCACCCAAAGATTTCCCTCTCCAGGAAATGCCACAACTCCAATAACACTCTGGAGTATGGCAGCACGCCAAGCCAAACAGAAAAGAAAAGTTCCATCCCAAAAACACATCACATCCATCTCTTCACCCTCTTAAGCCCCCACAGGGCAACCACTTCAATCAGGACAACACAGCAAACAGCACCATTACTAAAACACGTACTGAAGGTCTGCAAACAGGCAGGTACCTGAGTGAGTAGTCCAGTGTCATGCCTGTGAAGTCAAAAAACTTCAGGTATTCTTCGCCCACAAGCTTGCTGAATTCATTGCTTTAAACAAACAAATAAATAAGTAAAGGTTATAATTCAGGAGTGAACCCCTGCAGAACCAGCAAGAACAATGGGGCCAAAAGCCTCATACCAGTACATACTTTTTACCCAAATGCTTTGCTACATCAGAGCGTTTGAACCGGTCCAGATGGTAGAGGCGCTTAGCCAGGCGCCTGGCTGCTTCCACATTGCTGCTGCTGCCATTGCTGAGATCGTGGCCAAGGGCTCCGGTGGCATCCTTCTCCCAAAGTTCATTGCTCCCCATGGCAGCACTGGCATCTAACACCACATTCTGCAGTTCAGCATTTCTATGAGATGCAAAGAATATGGAAAGAAATAAAATAAGATGTTATTACAGTTTCAAGAAGGATTTAATTCCTCTTGGATAGAAGGCAATTAGTGCTACAGAGGCAAGATTACACAATACAGCAAATTCCACTTAATTGAAGTAGCTGTGTAGATCAGGGGCATTTATTTAGCAGTCATCAGAAGTTAACAGAGCTATATACGGAGGCCAAAGTATGGGCTTTTCATTCTAGAAACACATTCTGCTCTGTACTCACCTTCTGAGTGTGCTGAGTGTCCACAACTTGTGCTCGCTTTACAGAGAGCTGTTTGCTACTATGAGCTTACAATTGTATCTGACAACACTGGCTCCTCACTCACTTGGAAAGGCACCAGGGAGATTCTTCACAATTGGGGGTGGACCCCCTGCCCTGTCAGGCAGAGGAGGAGGAACTGAGGGATGGGGAGGGTTGGGAGAGGGTCCCCGCTCGGCGTCGTGGGCAAACCCCCCCTCTGCCTGCCCCGTGTCCCCGGGTCCCCCTGAGCAATAGGTTTCAAGCATTAGACATTGAGGGGAGGGAAGCGGGGAGGCACAGGAAGGTTCCCCTAAGAG